GCCCAATATCTGATAGTGATCTCAAAACTTCACCGCAGATCCTCCATCAGAAAGTGACATCAAGACCCCACCGAAGAACCCCATCGCCCTCAGAAAGTGACATCAAGACCAAATTTTGAATGGTCACTCTCGAGGCTTGTTTACTCTAATAAATATACTTGACTAGTTTTATTGTTTCAAAACTCACGTCCCTTAGTTGATTTGTTCTCAAAACAACAGAGTTTTTTATTTTTATATTAAAAATAATAATAATTTCAAATATGATGTTTTCTCAAATAAGTCTTATATTGTTGTTTTAAATCTTTTTATCATTTGATTACTGATTTTTATTGTAATTAAATAAATTATACATATGTTCATATTAATTTGATATTACTTATTACATGCATATGTATATCTTTGTCGTTTGACATGTACTTTTAATATATTTTTATTTTTTTTATCAGAACATTCTTATTATACTCTAACATTTATAAGATACTTTGATCCTTTTTCAGAAATTGAAAGAAAATATGTGAAATTATATTATTGAATGATTCAACTTTACTTTTATGATTTGAAATTCATAATTCAATTTGAAGCTTAAGTAGGTCGACATAGGAAATAAAAAATATAGGATTTTATGATTAGTTTTATGATGAATTTATATAAAATTTAATATATATTTAATATATATTATGTGAATAAATATTATATCTTTTTTTAATAATTTAAAATTATTTTATATAAAAATTAATATATTTTTAATATGTTGTTTTATAATTTAGTGTAACTTAAATGTAATGATTTTTTAGATAAACTGTGACGAGGAGGAGAGCAAGAGAGCAATGGTGGATTGATAAACAAAAAAAAAAAAGATAAAAGAGGAGGGAGAGGGAGAGCACGATGAGGAGGAGGAGACGACGACGGAGGTGAAGATGAAATGAATGAACCAAATTAATAAAAATATAAATCAAGAATTATGATAACAAAGAGGCGGAGGCCCCCATTCTAGTTTGTAATGCTGAGGGTCATGCACCTAATAAATATAGTGTATATTGACTAGCTTTATTGCGTCAAAACTCATGCGCCTACATAATTTTATTTTTATATTTTTAAAATTTTAATTTCAACTAAGATATTCTCTCAAATAAATCTTATTACTACTTTAAATCTTTTTTATCTCTTAATTACTTATTATGATTACAATTGAATGAATCGTACATATGTTCATATTAGCTATGTATGATTTTATTGTTTCGTATGTATTTTCAATATTTTTCTAAATTTTTATCATAATATTTTTATTATACTTTAGTATTGATAGGATATTTTGATTTTTTTGAAAAAAATAAAAAAAAATAAATGTTATGCTTGTAGAGCAGTAACGAGATTAAGACTTATGTTATATCTATCCAAATATATGTGTAATTATATAATGATATGATTGGATTATCCCATCTATAATTTGAAATTTATAGTTTAATTTCAAATGTAAGTAGGTCGACGTAGGAAATAGGAAATGTAGGATTTTATGATTAGTTTTATAATAAATTTAGGATAGTTTTATAATAAAAAAAGTAATATATATTTTAATATTTCTATTAATAAATATACTAATTTTTTTATATAATTTAAGATAATTTTATATAAAAATAATAAATTTTTAATATATTTTGTAAATGAGTGTAACTTAAATGTAACGATTTTTTGGATAAACTGTGATGAGGAGAGGGAGAGAATAATGGAGCAAGACAAAAGAGTAGGAGGGAGAGGAAGAGTGTGCGGTAGAGGAGAAAAAGATGGGGAGGAGATGGAGAATAAGGACGAGATGATAAAGGTGAAGGTAAAATAAATTGAACCGAATTAATAAAAGAAAATCATGAAATCTTCATGGATTTTAATATAATTTAATCTAAAAGAGTGATGTCATTTTCATTCAAATTAAAAAATATTATTTGATTAGAGACGTTAGCGTGATGGGATGGAGCATAAAATGTGTCTCGTGTTCCCATTGTCACCCTATTCCCCATTAAGATGGGGTATAGGTGGGGATTAAAAATCCCTATTAGGGCAAGGAAACTCATAAGCTCTTCATATTATCCTAATTAATTCGTTCAATTTAAAAATATAATTATTATTAAACCTAATTAATAATACTAAAATTTATATATAACACAAGCTAAATATATTCAAATATAAACATAATTAAAATTATGTAAATGAGGAGGATAAAGGGAGGGGGCAAGGGCTACGATGATCAACGAGGCGAGGTTATGGTGTGAGCGGAGCCGGTTATAATAGTTGTGACGAGACAATGGGGGTGTTATGATGCAGGGGAAACCGAGAAGAGAGTGTACCATGGGAGAGGAAAAGAATAAGATAAAAATAATAATGATTCGTTGCCACCATTTACTATTTGTCGTTTGCAATCGTCGATCATTAGAGGATTCAACAGTTGCTATTGAAAACAAAGTTGAACAGTCACTATAGCACTGCCTGCGATTAGAGATTAGGCACTTATGAAAATATCATAAAATAAGGATTGAGGGGACATTCCAAAAATAAAAAAATTGAAACAATTGGGATCTTTTTTAGTGATCAAATGTAGCTACTAATTGTATATACAGAATAAACACTTAAGTATGAACTTTATAAGAATTTTTACGTTTTTTTGAATTTCTCTATTGAAATTAAAGAAATAGCTCTCTTCTCTGCTTTATTTTTATTTTTATTTTTCGTCTTGAACCTTTTACAATTGGCTAGTCGTGACAAAAGAAAGTAATTTACGGATGAGTAAGAAAATAACCTTTGATATGAACTTACGGCCATCGATTTATTATTATTAAATAAAGAGATATTTCATTTGATTTAATTGAATCATAATTGATCCATCAAGATTATCTCAATCTGATTTTAGGATTATTCACCTAATCAGATTCACCCAGTCTGACACACTTATTGATGAATTTGGGCTTGGGAAGATTAATCAGGAAGGATTAGTATTCAGGTCGAACTTTTCCACAAGGGCATGTGAGATAGAGGCAGATCGAACAGCTTCCGTAGATACTTTAGTAAATCATTTGCAGATAGGTGAAAAGAATACCTTGCCACTATTAGTGATGAGTGCCTTTCTATCTTGATCACTCGCACCATTATGTGTTCATAGGAAACACATAATCCTTGGCGATGGATTTGGGTTGTTACTAAGATACAGGTCCCGATAGAACATTATTCTTAATCACGATTCCTTTTTTTTTTTTTTTTTTGGAACATTGGGAATATATATTTTTTTTTTTCGAGAAAAGGAAAAGCTATAGATCTTTATTCACGAAAGGAAACTACACTTCATTCTCAGACCCTCGGCTGGGAAAGGATGGGGATTGGTGGTTGTGTTCTTCTCCATGCAATATATTTCTCGACCTGTAAGCCTTCCTCTTCAACCTGTAGGTTGCAAATCTGTTTATGAACAGATATAAGAGGTCGACACTTACTCTTCATAATTATTTATGTGTTTGTTTTTACAAACAATACACATACAATCGATTGTATGAATCTTTTTTTCGTTACTGTGCTTTATAATAAAAATGAGAGTTGAGTAAAAAAACTATGGATCAATTCAATCAACCTGAACAATAATATCAGCAGAGCCAACTACTTTAAAATGTCAATATGACAGCGATTGATTGAAGAGAACCCTCCCTCTCTCTCTCTCTTTAAAGATTTTATTATCGAATTATCGAAACTAATACTCTACATCATGTTATCACCTCTGCGTTTCAGCTCTGTACAAAAAGAAATTACCTCTGATTAGAAAAGACGAAGTATTAGAAAAAGTATAGAATAGACATTCTTCAATCTATCCTGAGCGATCAACTTTCTGTTTCTTTTTCTTACAATTCACAAAATATATAAACATTAATTCTGTGTTTATGACGCACCAAATTGTGCCACCATGCGTTAAGGAAATTGCCGACTCATTTCCAAGCCTCAATGATATTGGTGAAGAAGTAAAACTTAATACAAGAGTTTGCAGTTGCAGAGGAGAACATTTATCGAGCAAGAATCCAAACAAAAAATTACGACAGTTTGAACTATGTCGAATTAGATATATAGCCAAACCTCTATAAAGTTCCCATTTGCCTCTATCTTGTAAGTACCTGAAAACAAGCACCTGTGCCCTGGCTCAGCGAGCAACCCAGCAATCAGGATTCCGAAAGAGCAATGCTACAATGGAGAGAGATGCCACCGAGCATAGTTTTAATCTATTAAACACAGCTGCGGTTCGACCTCTTGCGCTAGTTTCATGCTTCCATCTAATTTTTTTTTTGCTCACGCTAGAATCAGAGCACTCCGCACAAAGAAAACCTGGGAATGCAGAATACTGGACCTGTAAAACTTACAGATAGCAAGGTCATATTAACACATTTGGTATATCGGTTGTAAAGCAACAAGTTCAAATGCTTATTGGGCATCACTACTCTATTTGTTTGGAATACGGTGCGATCGCTACTTCACGAATCATGTCACTGTTCAAGTTTCTAAATGATGACTTTTACGTTGACTAGTAATACACTATACATGATCGATAGACAAGCTCACTCCTGACAGTACTAATGTACTCAATTCGAAGGGGTCTCAGTCTCATTACAATAGTTTGTTGAGCTGTTTTGAACATGGTCAGGTGGTTTGCAAGGATTGCGTTTGCACAATAATTTCTTTGTGATTCAGACCACAAGACCAAGTACCTTATCAGTAGAGATAAGATATCATGGAATTTCTATGATATGTACTTAAGATTAAACCCCATTGACATGTTTATAACATTAGTTTTTCAGTATCAAAGCTTCTGACGACTTCTGCTAGGTGAACACGAGAGGAACACTGTTTATACTTTCTGATTCATGTCAACTATAGGAACACCAAATAAAGGACTGAGAACATAGGCATTTCACATTACCTTTAGATTGCACTCGGTCAAATATCCAAAAGACGTCTCCACAAGATATAACTTTATCTTCTCATGCAACTGGAATCTTTGGCTCTCCAAGATTTACAAAAGCCTCGGTACGAACCATACGTGCTGTGGCTGAATGCCAGGAGATAAGATGGTCCATGAAGTTATTAACATATTTGCTCACGTCATCCTGCTCAAAGAAATTATTCAGAAATAAAAGATTGCTGTAAAAGAAGTTAGATTAAACTAATTCGATCTTTCTGCAACTTTCCATATGCAATGATACTAAAAATTACTTTTCAGACAAGATAAGAAATGTCTTGGATTCAATGATCACTGTTAGCAGAAAATATCTAGAATACCTTGTAGTCCAAGTAATATGCATGCTGCCATAATTCAAAAGCACAGGAGGAAGATCATTAGTCTTGCAGCACCATGTTTAATGAGATGATATATGTATTCAGCTTACTTACCTCCCACATGTCCAGGCTGATGATTGGCTGTGAAGAAACCAGGAATAAGGTCATTAAAACATCAAAATATGTCACAGGAACTGAAGTACGTTGAAGCTTAACATACAATATCACCCCAAACAAGTGGACAAAGTGCATTTGATGTTCTAACTATCGAAAGTCTTCTTTCATTGGTTTTCACTGCAAACAAGAGAAATTCAATCAACATGTCGTTCAAGCCATAACAGATGAAATATGATTCTCATTTACAAAAAAGAAAAAAAAAATTCCACCCAGCCAATCCAAGTTGAATGATAGATTTACAGCGACAAACTTCTACTGAAAGCACTACGAATTTATGAAAATGGTCTTTTTTGTGTCATCTGTTCTAAGGATGCTACAGCAGAGAGACTGTGCCAAATGAGAACCCTAAACTTACTCCCTCTAACACTTCCCCGCCTCACCTACATTATAATGTGAAGAGACAACACAGTGGACCAGAAGCTCCCGTGCTTCTCATTAATCATCATTGATAGTTAAGTAGCAACATGAGGGACAAAGGAGGGATACAATCAATCAGGTTATTAAGTATTGTTTATCCCGAAAGAACTGTTAAGGATGATACCAGTGGAACTTCTATTGAGAATCATTATTTTTCCTTAATGGCTGCCCAATTTAATGTCTTAAGCATGTTTTCAAAAGAAAAGAATTGATGTGAACAACAAATAAGCTTTCACATGAAAAATAGCAACTAAAAAGGATCCTGCACAAAACTGAGATGAATGTCTTAATGTAATGAAGAAAACTTATGGTCCAAACAATTTTAACTCACAGACAAGCCACACCCAGCCAGATCCGAAAAGCATCATAGCTGAATGTACAAATTCATCTCGGAAGTTAGAGAATGAGCCAAAGTCCTTTTCAATCTGGTCAAGCACACCTCCCCATGGCAACCTTCCACCATTAGGTTGCATTGATTCCCAGAAGAAATCATGGTTCCAAACCTGTACATTATCACATACAAGATTATGATTGAAGTATTTGTGAACTATGCTCAATTTTCAGAATATATTCAATTTGGTAAAACCAAAGTGATTCAACTAGATGTTGAGTTGGTTCCAGTCATGATTCCATACATGCAAATTTTCAAATTTAATGTTACTATCAGACTGTCTATGGGAAACAGATATGATTTAGAACTGATGTAACCAGATAAAAGGCATGAATACAAAGTGCACTAGTTGGAACAGCTAAAAACCACTTTATCAACTATGAGCAGCAATAAATATGACCATGACCAAATACTCAAGAAAATGTATAGAGGAGGTCATTTGAAGACGACAACTTAATGAAATGAAATAGCAAATATTTGTTGATATTTCATAAGAATCTAAAATTTAAAACATGGAAATAATTACCTCGGCAGCATTATTATATTCTGGTAATGGGTTGCCATTGTTGAATGTGGTTTTGATAAGCTCCTCCATTGTGCAACCATACAATGGGCTGTTAGCAAGCTGCTTATTCAAGCTATCTACATAACCTCGATGAATATTGCCCCAGTGCAGTTCCAGTGTTCTCCTGCTCATGTATGGTTCCAATGCATCCTACTATGTAAGCAAGGCAGGTCAACTTTAGAAACAAAAATCTAAATACTGAGTTACAGTACATGTTCCAAGAAGTCAGATTTTATAGCAACCAACACCATAGTCCCACTTACAAGTTTATACGGAGGGTTTGTTAGGCCATAGTATGCCAGAACCTTTGTAACTTTTCGGAACTGATATATCTGTTTCTTATGCTGCAACAATCAAGAAAAGGTCATGCAACATGCCAAAACATGGAAGCTCACGGAAAATAACATCTACTAAAGAGATTTTACAGCAATTTTCAATTTTTTTCCAAGATAAATATACTTATTTGAATATGATCAGTGTCAGTTTAAAACAACAGGAGTTAATCTGACAAACATATGAAGTCATGTATACTATGTATTATCACTGAGGATACAATCTGACTTCTTGTAGCAGGCTCATTGGTTTAACATCTGCATTAAGATTAACACTTTCATTTCTAATGTTTCATTTGAAGGAAATGTCCTGAGAAGGGTGAGATTTCTTTGTTCCCAAATGAATCGGCTAATAATTTGGAATGTGATAATTGATCTTGGTTTCACCATTTTTTTACAGTTTTTTAAGTCTAGGTCTCCATCAATCAGTCAAGATTCCACGAATCTGGATCATCTTAAATACCTATAGACTTCAATGTCATATTTGTGAGAGTTACATCTCGGTACACCTTGTGGGGAATCACCAATCATGCTGAGATACCGGGATCAAGATGATGAGATTACTGACCAGACAAGAAAGGTCACATGGAAGAGAAATACCCTAAAATTCCAATATAACTCTCATGTCAAAAATCCGAATACACTAAGCTCCTGCAGAATAAATTTGAAGTCCTGCATTTAATGAACTAAGTATTTCAAGTCAGCAGTTAGAAGAAGACGAACGCTACAGGAGCACCAAAATATTCATAAGGTTGGAGCTTTCAAGACATCCTTGGCAGCGCCTTGCACTAGCGTCATGGCATCCTACTATCCAAATAACCATTTAAAATACACTGGCAGTGCTGAGAAGTAATTATGTTTCTAAATTACTTTTCTTTTTTCTTTTGTGCTTATAACAGTATCTGACGACTCATATCAAGATAAATAGGTTTCTGACTGGTTAATCCTTTCATGATCCGTAGCCTATCCACAATTCTATCATTTGTTTGATTGTATCTTTAAGTGAATTTAAAACTGACAGGTGTTGTCAAAAATTAATTTATGTCTATACTTCCTTATCATGCCATTCAAAAGACTTGTTTCTCCAAACATTAGCAACCAAATTACTCCTTTCATGATCCAATAAACTATCTACACTTCTATCATTTGTTCGATTGTATGTCTAAGTAAATCTAATGCCGAAAGATGTTGTCAAAATATTTTCATGTCCATGCTTCTTCATCCAGTCATTCGGAAGACAAGTTTCGTCAAACCTAAGAAACCAAATGATAGGAAGAACACATGGGCTCAGTGTATTTACAAAGCTAGTAAACCAGTAACTAAAGGCAAGTCTCCAGGAAAAAATGTGCTGTGAGGCTAACACAAAATAGAAAGAAATTGCCGAGTCATGCACTGAATCCTGCTTCTTCTAATCCCAGAAAACTCAACAATAAGAAAGTTAACTCCTTGCCGTTCTTTGAGTTTGTAGACCCTAAAAGAGACGAAAGAAGAGAAGGCAAAAACCCTTACTAACATGAGTTTTCTGCGAACACCGTAACAAAGGTAATGTGTAGCTGACAGACACAAGACTCATACTACAGAAACACCGAGATATAGCTAATAAGATATCAGGATAGCTACACGACTCATAAGGATTAGAATTGTCAATGGGCCCTAACACCCCAAGTTTAATCTACCGGCTAAATTTATCCCACATACATTCCAAAATAATAATAATAATAATATTAATAATAATAGAAATTTATAACAAACAAGTTCTAAGGGAGTTCAATGAAACTGGAATTTAGATCATAACATGAAGGTGGCAGAAGCTATGAGCGCATTTACAGCATAATAAGGTCTAGGAAGAAAGATTCGGGTGCAGGTCTCTTACCTTGGTGGCCTTGGTGCTGAAAGATAGCCTTCCTGCTTCACTGCCGAGAGAACAAACACGACAAGGAGCGGAGTTAGCTGAACACATTTAGAAAAAAGAACAAGGGCAAGCAAAGCAACACACGGAGAAAGAGAAGGAGCGACCCACAAAGGATGCACGACGGAGGACGCATAGGCGAGGGGGAGCGCCATGGCCATGGGAAAGATGGGGAGGAGAGCTGCGGGCACCGGAGATGAGCGTAGGACGACGGCGGATGGGGCGGAGATTGGGAGGGGACCGTGGAAGCGGAGTGTTTTATGATTTGGGATTGTGTTTTTGCATCTGAGTCCCTATGCGATTGAAATATTCAAATGAACCCTCATATTGTTTACAATGTAACGGAAAGCCACCGACTTAATCCTTTCTCTTCTCATTGCAATTTGCAACCTTAATCCTTTAATTATTTGTAAAAGAGTGGCAGTGCAATTTGAAATGAGGGAGTGTAAAGATACTAATCAATATCAATAATAATGTTTATGGACAACTTAGTAACGTTGTTTCTTATTATTTACATTTAACTAATATTGGGTATGAGGAGTTAGTCGACGAGTCATATCCTTATAAGTCGAAGTATTATGATCAAAAGCCAAAGGGTCGAATCTGTAAGGCTGAACTAAAGAACTTGATCGATTCATGTATTGTTGTTCATTGCCATAGTTGTGTGTGTGTGAGAGAGAGAGAGAGAGAGAGAGAATCATTAATCATATAGATGGGAAGCTTTGGTACGCCTTCCATCACCGTCCGAATAGGAGATCAACAGATGCTGGTGATGGAAAACAGTGGCTGCAGGTGAATTCGACGGATCCCTCAGGGCAGAAGATCTATTACGAAGCACACGCAGAAATTTATAAAAAGAGAAATTTTCTCAACTATCTTTTCGAAGCACACGCAGAAATTTATAAAAAGAGAAATTTTCTCAACTATCTTTTCGAAGCACACGCAGTTATTCTTCACTGGTGTAGACGGATCCCTCAGGGCAGAAGATCTATTACGGTACCCAAGACGGCGGTGGCGACTGACAGAGCCAAAACCCCAGAGATGAGCGGGATGGCGGCTTTACGGACCCATGGTCTGTCGATCCCAAAAAAGCACGCACTGAGACAGATCCCAAGGGTGATGTCGAAGCAGTAAATAGCGAAGACAGCCAAGTTGTAGAGCTTGAACGCAAGCTCATGGTTACGAGCGGTAGGGCCACCCAAGGTAACCAAGCCTGCCGAAAGGCTCAGCTGTATCACCAGCGGCACGACCTTCTCCAAGAAGCTTGCTGGGGGATCATCAGTAGGAGGAGGAGGAGGTGGTTGCAGCTGCGCTTCCGGATCGACTTGAGAAGCTGATGTTGGTTCTCCAGCGTCGGAAACGATAGCTGCGGAATGAGGAGGAGGAGGAGGCAGCTGATCGACCTGAGAAGCTACTCCGCAACTCGCCATTGTTTGTGGTAAGAAAGAGAGAGAAGGAATCAAAATATATAGAGAGGGAGAGAGACAACTTTCCTCAGAAAGTGACGTGTCAATACTTCAAAACACGCATTACCCACCAATGGAGCCCCCTCATTCTCAAGACTTCATTCAAAGCACCCGTTGCCCACCAACGGAGCCCCCTCCTTCTTTCTGAAAGTGACGTGAAAACCGAAGAACCCATCTTCGGGAATATAAAAATAAATAAATTTTATATATAAATAAATAATAGTAGATCATAACATATAACGAAATTAAATAAAATCATATTCTAATAAAATACCAAAATATACGTGGAAAATCTAAATACTTATGCTGCAACAATCAAGAAAAGGTCATGCAACAATCTAAATACCAAAATATCTGTTTCTTATGCTGCAACAATCAAGAAAAGGTCATGCATCGTGCCAAAACATGGAAGCTCACGGAAAATAGCATCTACTAAAAAGATTTTGCAGCAATTTTCATTTTTTTTCCAAGATAAATATACTTC